CCCGCCCCATCGCACGTTGTACGGGGTCTGCGAGTCGAGCGGGAGGCGACCCGCTGTCCAAAGCCCGGGAGCCGCGCCCGGCGCACTAGCCCGCCCGTCCCGGTGCGCGGTGTCCGGGGTTCGCAGCCCGAGTGTCCGAGGACTCCGTAGTGTCGCAGGCGGAGACCCGGGCCACCGCCGGCTCCTGCGGGCAGCCAGGGCCAGCCGTGCCGCCCTGCGCGCAGGGAAGGGACCCTGTGCCGTGGGGGGTGGGGGGCGGGGGGGTCACAGACAGCGTCGGGCTCGGGGTGCTGTTCCCAGTCGCGAGGTGCCGCGCTTTCCCGCGGGGAGACACAGCCGTTCTAAGGCTTCTGACATTTTATTTATGCATACAGAACTGGGGCGCAGGCCAGATATCCTGGGGTGAGAGGACTTCCCAGAGAGCCGAGAGCAGAATATGGGTCGAGGAAAACACTGCTGGGGGGGCATCCGGGGACAGGAGGGGTCTGCTACCCTGTGGGTCACTTCCTAGGGGCCAGGATCACACTAGGGGGGCTGCAGACAGCTTCACAGTGCCACGCCTCAAAATTGTGCCACCAGGGAGGGCCCGGGACCCCAGACTGTTAAAGGGGGTCACGCCGCAAAAGGGACTGACTTGTCTTTTGCCACACAAAGGCAATGTGTTGCGACAGGGACCCCATGAGCGGTGAGGGCCAGGGGAAGACGGCTGCTGGAGCAGAGCTCTGGTGAGAGCTGACCCTGGGATAGTGCTAGAAGAACAGGGCCTGCGGGAGGGCAAGGACGGGGACACCCTGACCACATGTCAAGATGTGTGTCAGCAAGTACGATTTATCACGCCTTCCACGGGCACAATCATCCTGACACCACGCGAAGACAGCCACGTCATCAGGCCGACAGCGGCCTTCGCCCCCGGCCGGCCGGTGACATGGGCTGCACTGCTAGTGGGCCAGGAAGGCCCTGCTGGGCCTGCGGACAGCAGGCGGTCAGCGGCTGCCTGTGCGCGGCTGGCTCGGACACCCACAGCACCGCAAGGTCTGGGTGCGCTAGGCCTTTCCTAGAACGAGCACGATGGGGAGAGGAAAGTGTATTCCTAATAAAAGTTTCCCAATAAAACCTCAAGTTTGGGCCCTCTCTGGGCGCTGGGGGTCAGCTTCAGGCTGTCACCGCTGCGGTCTGAGTCTGGTCCCCAGATACTGCTGTCCCCAGGGGGCAGCAGACCCTCCTGTCCCCCGCTGGTCCCTCAGCAGAGTCTCAGTGGCTCCACCCGTCTGCTCCCCACTCTGTCTCAGGGGAGTCCCCTCACCCCTGCACCTCTGGACTGTGCCCCAGCTCTTCTACCCCCCAAAACCCCGATACTCTCAAATTTGCGCATCTTCCAGTGAGCAAACGCCCAGCCAAACAGGGATGGGGGCGAGGGAACCGCTGAGGTCGGAAGAACCCGCTGGCCGCAAGGGGCCGGGCCTGAGTGGCCGGAAGCGCCTGCGGGGGGGGGGCGCTGGGGGCGGGGCCTGAGGCCACACCCAGCGGCCTCTGCCTGGTCCCACCCAAGGCCCCAGTCCCCCGTCTCCTCCAAGCGCCCTCTCCTTAGCACCGGGCAGCTGGGGCAGCCCCAGCCTCCTTGTTGCGGGCGCCCTGGGGCCACCAGCGGCACCCAGCCCTGGGAGGAGTTGGGTTGGGGCGCAGGGCGGGAGTCTGAGCTGCTGCCTGTGGGTGGGAAGGCAGTGGCACTCCCTTGAGAGGGTGCGCCTGACAGTTGGGGTTGTTTTGTGCCTGTGAGCCCCTCCCCGAGCACAGCGCTGGGCTTTGGGTGTTCTGCCTTTCTGAACCTCTGGAACAGACGACCCGGGCTTCCCGTGGCAGTTTGGGGGCCCGGCACCCCTAGTTTCTGTGTAGCATTGTTACAGGGCGCCCCAGTGTGAACCGGGCCGCCTGTCGTGGGGGCTCCCCTGCGCACCTGAAACGTAGTGGTGCTGCAGGCGCACACAAAAGGGTCAATTATGGGCTTATTTACAAAAAGGGAAAAGAAAAGGAAAACCCAGGGAAAGAGAGCGGGGTAGAACGTAACTGGAACGCCTTACCGGCTGGCCGACTCGGAGCTCTGGCAACGAACTGAGAGCCCCGAGACACGCAGTCCCGGCCTTGCCCGGGCGAGCGCGGGCCCTGCACAGATGGCCCTGTTTACCCCCCAAAGTCCCAGAACGCTGCCCCGCTCGCCCTGGGGCCCGCAGCTCTCTCGGGGTGCTGCTGGGGGCTGTGGTTTCCAGGCCCTGGCGCACGGCGGAGTCCACGAGGCTGCAGAGCTCCTTCAGCACGCTCTTCCCCTTGCCAGTGTCATGTCCCCAGCCTGCAGGGCTTTCAGAACCCAGTGACCCTGTCTTTGCCTGCAGCTGAAGAGAACTTCCTGGGCACCCCTAACGTGCCCTGGGGCGATGGTAGGGGGCATCGCCGGCCCTGGATTTCTGCCCTGGTCACCGACCCACACCAGCGGCTCACCCTTGTCCACTGGAGCCCAGCAGGTGCCATAGGGCCTGGCCCAGCCACACCTTCCCGCAGGAGGGGCCAGGGCTGCTGCCCCAAGGGCCCGCCCATCCGCCAGGCCGGCATGGGGCCTGCTCCCCCTCTTGCCTGCCCCACCTCAGGGGGACCCTGCACTGAGACCCCCATTCCCTTCCCCGCTCAGGGTTGGTTGTTGGGAGTCTTTGAAGAAGAAAACAAAAGCCAAGTAGCCCCATCCCCTGCAGCCAGCACCAGCACCGCTGGCCAGGGCCCAGCCCTGGCCGGGCCCAAGCCCCTCACTCTCGTGGAGGCTGCGCCGCACCCCGACCTGCCCTTCTGCCCTGTTTTTTCACCCCGAGTCGTGTTAGTAACCGCCTTTTCATTTCAGGCACTTCCCACAGAGACTGAGCTCGGGGCGGAGGCCCCTGAGCTGCGGTTGCGCACAGAACCGCACCACGCAGCGCCACGGCGGGCTCCAGGACGCATGCCAGGGGGTGAAGCTGGGCTGGGCCGCGGGCTCCACCTGGCGGCTGGGCGGGGCGCCAGGGTCCTGTTCTCCCTGGATGAGCCCCAGAATTCTTCCCTGTGGCCCGAAAGGGGAGCAGTGGCATGGTGACCTCTTCTTGGACTGGGGGCCCTTGGGCGGGGCCCTCTCTGCTCTGGGCTCAGCGGCAGGTGTCCTCCTGGTCACCTGAGCTCACGGACCTCCTTCCCACACCAAGGCGAGGGGTCTGCTCTGGGCAGCTGACAAGAGCCTCGCCAGGCCGCCATGTGGCGCAGAGGGGCGCGCGCTGGGCAGCAGCACAAGGCCGGGGCGCTGGGTGCCCCGCGTGTGCTCCTGGCGCCGGAGTGTGACTGGCTGCGACGTGACCTGGTCCCCCGGCCACTGCCAGACGTCCGACCCGTCCTCCTGTGTAGACGCCAGCGCCAGGACGAAAGGGCCCTCACTTGGTGTGGGGACCGCGCTAGCCCGCGGCGCCCCTGAGCGCTTCCCAAATGGGCCTATGCGTCTCCAGAACTCAGGAAGAAAGGGGGCGCGGGGCGCACTCCAGCCTCCCACCCCACTCCCAGAGCTGGAGCAGGGGAAACCGGGATCTGCCTGCGCAGGGAAGAGGCAGAAAAGTCAAGGGGCGGTGTG